AATTATAGGTTCAAGGCCAACCTGGGCAACTTAGCCAGACCCTGTCTCAAAATAAAAATTGAAATTAAAGGCTGGGGCTGTAGCTCAGGGGTAAAGTGCTTGCCTAATATGCACAATGTTATTTGGTTCAATCCACAGCACCAAAAAAAGGGGTCGGGGGGGGGGGATGGGAGAAATGTGGAATGACAAATTCTCACTGAAATCTTATGTCTGGTCTAGCTGAGGGGCTATATCTGGATTTGGAGGTTTTCTGCCTTTCAGTGCCCTGTGATTTATATACTATTCCTCTCTTCTAGCAGTCAAAGTATTGCTTTTCTGATCATCTTGAAGGTCTTTTGTCAAGGTAGATGTCCTAAGTTTCAGTAAACTTCTAGCTCACTAAATTCTTTTCCTTGGGTCTTTCACCTTCTGCTGAAGACCTCTATTTCTCCCATTTTAATTTTCTGCCCAAGTACACACATCTTTGATTTATTGTTCTCTTACTGCCTCCATTTTACTAATTCATTCAGCCACTCTTTTAACAAATGTCTATTGTGCCAGACTGTGGGCAGGCTATAGTGATAAACAAGACACAGTCTCTGCCCTCAAGTGCATAGTCTAGTAGGGAGATAGAGGTGTAAACAAATAATTAAAATACCAGATAGCTAAGTGCTATCACAGAAATATGCTCAGAGTTGTAAGAGGGCTAGGAGGAGTAACTAAAAAAACAGTGGAAAGCTCACAATGGAGGTGACTTTTGAGCAGGGTCTATGGTCAGGAAAGAGAGGGGCATCTTTAGGTTACTGAATGGCCAAACATTCATAGTCCTTCCATTCTCAGTGCTGCTCTGTTGTTCCTAGGTCTTTTTAATTCCTTTGCTGTTTTATGAATGTAACAGATCTAATTGGGATGGCTGAATTAGACCTTCTTGATTGACCCCTTTCAAAACCTGAAATGATTGGTTGATGGATATCCCAGCTGCCAAATCTAATAGTTTGTTTCATGACCATTTATTGACAGTGAATGATAGAGACTATAAGCACCGAAGAATGCTTTTTAAAGGCCTTTCATGTGTTCAGAACTATGTGTTCTGAGCTACAAGAAGTGGTCTTTATGCCCCCAGGGAGCAGAGGGGGAGATAAGGAGAGAGAAGGCTGAAGAGCTTTTTAGTGAGGAATGGAAGAGGAGAATGGTCCATTATTTCTTTTACAATAAGAGACATAATTTCCTGTTTCTAATGAAGGCTTCCTTGGTAGTAGGTTCCTGTCCCTTTGTTCATTGTGTATATTGTTTTGGGATTACAAAACTCTGAAGTTGACTAATTTGTAAAGGTTTTTATTTTATTTTTTTTAATGTTTCACTAGACAAAAAGAGATGAAGAACCATTGTGATTAAATTTGTACAATTCAGTAAGTAGGACTGAAATTTAAGCATACGTATTGTTTTTGAAATAATAAATGTTTATTGTAGAAAAATTAGAAAATATAGAAAAAAGAAAAATGCTACAACCAATTCATAATCTTGCAAGCCATAGTGTTAATATATTGACATAAAACTGGGGGTGTTGCTCAGTGGTAGAACATTTGCCTAGCATGTACAAGGCCCTAGATTCAATCCTCAGCGCTTCAAACAAAAGCAATTAAAAAAAAAAAAGGTGTGTAAGTGAGGTGTGGTGGCACACACCAGTAACCCCAGTAACTCAAGAGGCTGAGGTAGCCAGGTGCAGTGGGGCATGTCTGTAATCCCCATGGCTCAGGGGATCACGAGTTCAAGGCCAGCCTCAGCAAAAGTGAGGTACTAAGCAACTCAGTGAGACCCTGTCTCTAAATAAAATACAAAAAAGGGCTGGGGATGTGGCTCAGTGGTTGAATACCTCTGAGTTCAATCCCTGATACTGGCACACCCCCCCCCCCAAAAAAAAAAAAAAAAAAAGAGAGGTGGCTGAGGCAAGAGGATTGCAAGTTGGAGGCCAACCTCAGCAATTTAGTGAGGCCCTAAGCAATTTAGTGAAACTTGTCTTAAAAAAACAAAAAGGGCTGGGAGTGTGACTCAGTGGTAAAGTACCCTTGAGTTAAATCTCCAATACCCCACCTCACAAAAAAGATGTATAAATATTCTATTTCTATGCATACATATATGTATTTTAAAATATTGCTTTTCTGAAAAAGCAGTATTCGGAAAAAGGGAGGCTGAGGCAAGAGAATCCTGAGAAACTTAAGGAGACCCTGTTTCAAAATAAAGAAGAAGCTGGTATATAACTCAGTGATAGAGCTCTCCTGGATTCAATTCCCAGTACCATTAAATAAACAAACCAACAAATTAAAGTGTCTATTTAAAAAGAAACAAATAAATAGAATGTACTGTGTGAACTATTATCTTGTTTTTCTTTCTGCTAAATATTTTGACCATCTTATCGTGTTAGCAAATATGTATCTACAGAATATTTATTTTTAATGAATTTTGTGGGGAGGGTACTGGGAATTGAACCCAGGGGCGCTTAACTACTGAACCATATCCTTAGTCTTTATTTGATTCGATTTTGAGGCAAGGTCTTGCTAAATTGCTCAGGCTGGCTTTGAACTTGAGATCCTCCTGCCTCAGACTCCCAAGTTGCTGGGATTATAGGCATGTATCGCTATACCTGGTTAATATAAATCAAACTTGTTTTGTTAAAATCAGACTCTGTTACAATATAAAACAAAGTGAAACTGGGCTATAATGCCATCCCCTAAGGATAAACAATTTAGTATGTAGCCTTCCAGATTAATTTCTATAAATATGCAAACATATCTCTTACTGTATTTTAAAAGACTAGACCCTAGATACCTCTGTTCTGCTGCTTGCCTTTTGTACTTAATATGTTTTAGACATCTTCCAGTGTCAGTACATTTGGAATACTTGCATATTATCATATAGATCAGGAATCTTTGTCCTCAGAACTGTTGACATTTTATACTGGATAAGTCTTTGTTGTGGAACTGTCCTGTTCATTGCAGGATGTTTCCTAACCTCTGTCTTTCAGATGCCACTAGCACCTCTTCCTCCACTTGTGACAAAACTGTTTCCAGGCATCCCCACCCTGGGGCAGGGTGTGTGTGTGTATGTGTATGCACAATTGCTTCTAGTTGAAAGCCACTTATAAAGATATAAGCAACTAGCTTGCTTCCAGTTTTTTCACTACAAAGAATGGGGCACAGAATGTTTATATTGATTTTTGTGCAACTGTGTTAATATTATCATTAAGTAAATTCCTAGAAGTATGGTTAGTTGCTAAGTCAAAATTTCGATGGAAATTGCCAAATTACTTCAAAAGGGTAATTTATTTATTTTTTTAAAACTATGTTCTTATTATTCCAATGATTATCTGGATCCAGAGCTATATTCTTATGGGTTCTGGATCCAGATAACCAACTTCTGATGAGACACACACCTCTTGGTGACCCACAAACTTAAGCACAGGATCAGCTTTTGTCTTCTCACTTCACCAGACATATACTTCTTGCCATATTTGTTTGTCAGACAGCAACATCATCTGCCTGGTTGCTCAAGCCAGAAACTACCTTCTCTACCCTATATTCACCCACTCAGCAGATTCTATCCAGTGGTACTCCTTAATCTTTCTCTTAATTTGCTTTTCATCTCTGGGAACTTGCTGCAGCACAGATATGCATGTGGTGCCCCCTGCTGCAGCCCTCCAGTGAGCCCTGCTGCTCTCCCCTTAACTAGCATCACCAGCTTCTTTTTAAATAAAACTTTCTTGAAAGGTTGAGACTGGAGGATCCCAAATTTGAGGCCAGCCATGACAATTTAGCGAGATCCTTTTTTAAAATAAAATAATAGAAAGGTCCAGGGATGTGCCTCAGTGATAGTTTCCCAGGGTTCAATCCTAGTCCAAAGTAGAATAGAATAATAGAATAGCTTTCTCTGGTTTAAAAAAAAAATTCAGTTTTGAAAAGCAGTGCTCTATCATATCACATGTACTTCACTACATATACTTGTTCTCCCAGCTTTGACTCAGTCATCTGCCCTTGAATGCCCTGTTGGCCCCCTGCATTTCCTATTCCTTGTAGCCTGCCCTGTACCTGTTTATCTTCTCCCCTTTCCTTATTACCTGAGACATTTCTTGCCACTTCAACCGCACATTTCCTCCATTTATCAGTTTATCCTTATGATATTTTTTGTATCTGTACTTTGTATGTGCTTCATGTTTACTTTTAAAATTTAACCTTGTAGAAAAGACAGCCGTATGTGTAAATAATATAAACCAGTAAATCAAGGAGAGAGGATATAGGAATTCCAGCTTCAGGTTCCAGCACAGATGTTAGGATAGAGGATGGTCTTTTAAATATCCCATTTGAGTGCCTAAGCCATCACTGCTCCTCTTAACTAGACTTATGATTTTTTGTAGTTCTCTGTTGCAGTGTAAGACAATACTTCACAAACCAGTTGCATCCATTTGGTTAAACTGAAATTTCTGAAGGAGATCATTGTCAGCCTCGCAGCATTCCATTTTAGGATATCTTAAATTCCAGGAAGCTAGGGGTACCTACTGTGGCACATGCCTGTAATCCTGGTGACTCGGGAGGCTGAGGCAGGAGGATTGTGAGTTCAAAGCCAGACTCAGCAACTTAGTGATACTCAGCAATTTAGTGAGACCCTGTTTCAAAATAGAAAGGCTAGGGATATGATTTGGTAGTTGAGAGCCCCTGGATTCAGTCCCCAGTGCCAAAAAGAAAAGAAAAGAAAGTCGGGATAGTTTATAACTGGGAATCTCTGCTGGAGCATGTCACACGTTGTTATGCAAGATTGGTACAGGGACAAGCCCTACAATTCTCTGTAAAAAGTCCACTCCAAGTCTGTGGGAAGTTACACTTAGCAAAATTTTGGCAAAGAACCATACATTTTTCTTCAGACTGCGTGTGGTAGTTCTATAACACTCTGTAATTAATTTTATTTTTATAATGAGAACAACCACAGAATAAGAATAATGCATAACCTATTTCTGTTTCTTACTATTTTAGGGGACATCACACAGAAGGGATATGAAAAGAAGAGGTCCAAACTCCTGTCTCCTTACAGCCCACAGACACAAGGTAGGTGATGAGAAATGGTATTAACTTTTTCAGTATTTTTATACCAAATGGATGCTGTCTTACAAGAAATATACCTTTAATTTGTTCCTGTTTTGTTTTTTGTTATTGTTTTGTTTGTTTTCTCCCTTTCTCACCAAGGGAGAGGAAAAAAAGGAAGGAAAGAAAGGAGGAAATGAATCTTAATTGAGCATCTGCCATGTGCAAGGCACTTTAAAAATACACACAGTCATCAAGTCATTTATGCAGAGCTTGGGTGATAGTATGTGAAATACTGAGATGATTCAATGGCAGAAGATTCCAGGCCATGGAAAAATGTCATTTATGCCAGAGCACAAACTTTGATGGAGAACAAGGAGAGCAAGATAGGGAAGAAGAACAGATCTAGAATTATATGGTACCTCAAGTGTTGTATGACTGGAGGATTTAGGGGCAGGACCCCAAATAAACATAGGGATTAATTCACAGCCTGACTTATTGCTTTTGTAAAGAGATTGACAAGTTATTTTTTTAATATATTTTTTTTAGTTGTTGATGGACCTTTATTTTATTCATTTATTTATCTGTGGTGCTGAGAATCAAACCTAGTGCTTCATACATGCTAGGCAAGTATCTATCTCTGAGCCACAACCCCAGCCCTCTTTTTTTTTTTTTTTTTAAATATATATGTTTTTTAGTTGTAGGTGGACAATACCTTTATTTACTTTAATGCAGTGCTGAGGATCAAACCCAGTGCCTCATGAGTGCTAGGCAAGTGCTTGACCACTGAGCCCAAACCCCAGCCCCTTGACAAGTTTTTTAAATATCTAAAAGACGTGAGTCACTTTTGTGCTTAATTCCAAAGGGGTTGCCATACCTTGACTTCTAAACAAGGCTTATCTCTCTCTTTTTTTGTACTGGGGATTGAACCCAGGGGTACTTTACTACTGAACCATATCCCCAGCCCTTATTATATTTTATTTAGAGATAGAGTCTCCCTGAGTTTGCATAGGGCCTCCCTAATTTGCTGAGGCCGATGTTGAATTTGCAATTCTCCTGCCTCAGCCTACTGAGTTGCTCGGATTATAGGTGTGTGCCACCATGTTTGGTTGGTCTTCTTTTTATTATCACTTTGTGCAGCAGTTGTAAACATTGTCAGTAACAAAATACTCCCTCTGCTGAGGCAGACAGCTTAATTGCTGCCTTGGTATGTCATTTAGTCACTTTCTCCCTCTCAGGCAGATTCTTCCACCGGTAGTTTGTCCTGCTTATTATTGTCCTGTTTTTAAAAAAAGGGAGGGAGGGAGGGAGGAAGGATTTTTCCTTTACTTGTCAACCTCTGTCAACTTCACCATCTCTATTGCCTGCTTTATAATCAAACTGCTCAGAATTGTGCATACTGTCTATTGTTTTAACTGCTCACTTCTCAGCCTAATCCAGTTCTTTCTGGAATAATCATCTTCAAATCTCAGTAGTATTTGGCACTATACTTCTCAAATCTCTTCTTTTGAAGAACCCCCCCTAATTCTTCTTCCCCTTCTCTTGTGTCTTCTCTTAGCCATCCTTCTCTGTTAAATACTGCAATTTTCAAGACAAGGCCCCAAGCCCTCTTGTCTTCTCACTCTGTACTAGTGGTTCTCAAGTTGTAGTTTACATCAGAATTACTGGAGGGTTTATTAATACACAGATTGAATGGCCCTATTCTCAGAATTTCTTATGCAGTAGATCCAAGGTACAGCCTGAGAATTTGCATTTTTGTCAAGTTCTAAAGTAATCTTGAAGTTCCTGGTTCAGGGACCATACTTTGAGAACCAATGTGTTTCTTATTTTCCTGGATTATTTTAGCCACACCTGTGGCTTTAATTATCATTTGAATACAGGTAACTCCCAAATATTATCTTCAGTCCATATGTCTCCTGAGCCCCTGATCCATAGTTCCAACTGCATGCTTTATATATCTTAAAAGGCACCTCCATTTCAACATATTCAAAATTAAATTTATGACTTGTGCACCAACCCTGCTGCCACTACCAACCCCTCCCTACAAACACTGAAAATCCAGCTACAGCTACATCCAACTTGCTCCTATCCTTCTTTTTTGGCTTTTCCTCTTCTGAGTAAATACAACTCATATCCATAACCACAACATGTTAGAAACTAAAAAGTCATTCCTCACTTGTCAGTCAGTTTTGGTAAATTTAATTTTTAAAGGAAATTATTTATTTTGTATAAGTTTTCAGATTTATTAAGTTTTTCCCAACTTCTTTTTGTTTTTAAAAACTTGGCTTTATTTATATTGTTTATTTGGAGTTGGGGATGTACCTCAGTGTTAAAGTACTTTTTCTGCATGCATAAGGTTCTAGGTTCCATCCCCACTACCCAGGGTAGGAAGGTGGAGGGTAGTTATGTATTACTTTTGCTTATTAGTGTCTCTCCTTCTCCCATCACCTTCTCTTTTCTTGATCATTTTCCTAGAAGTTTGTCTTTTCAAAGAATAAGCTTTTCGTTTTATTGATTTTTTTTAGTATGTCTTTATCTTCTGATTCATTATTTTTGGGTCATTTAAGTATTTTTTTCTATTTTCTTTACTCTTTTGTACTTTAAAAAATCTTTCTGAGTTGCATGCTTAGATTGTCTGCCTTTTTTCATAAGATAAATGTTTCTTCTTCATCCCTCGCCACTCCCATACTTACAGATTGAACCCAAGGGTGCTCTACCACAGAGCTATACCCCCAGCCCTTTTATTTTTTATTTTGAGGCAGGGTATTGCTAAGTTGCCAAGGCTGGCTTCAAGCTCACAATCCTCCTGCCTCAGCCTCCCAAGTTGGTGGGATTACAGATATGTGCCTACATCCCTGATAGATGAATCAGTCTTCCTCCCTCCCTCCCTCAATATTTTTTTAAAGTTATCAATGGATCGTTATTTTACTTATTTATATAGTGCTGAGAATCAAACCCATTGACTCACATGCTAGGCAAGTGCTCTACCACTGAGTCACAACCCCAGCCCAGATTAATGTTTCTTAACTTCACCATGGTCAGAGAACAAACCTTTACAAAATCATGTCTTTGTTATTAAGCTGTACCTAGTCTTTGGTAAATTTCTGTTAACTCATTTATTTGCGTTTTAACTGTTGCGTTTATAGGTCTGTTTGCATTAGCTCAAACGAATTTTTTACTAACTTTTTGACTGATCTATCAATTCTGATAAAAGTGTTTCAACACACTTGTACTGTGACTATAGAATTATTAGTTTCCCTTGTAATTCTGTCAAGTTTTGCTTTTGTATTTATTTATTTATCTATTTGTTTTTATTTATTTGTAGTCTAGGTATTGAACCCAGGGTTTTGACAAGGCCTATCCTAAGGCTTTTTGTTTGTTTAATCTAAACTTGGTCTAGAGTTATCAGGTATCTTTATTTTCTTCCCAAACATCACAAGGACTTTAGGATGCTTTGATGTTGATCACCATCACTTCCCATCTTTTATTATTATTATTAGTAGTAGTAGTACTGGGGACTGAACCCAGGGGCCCTTTACCACTGAGCTACATCCTCAGTCCTTTTTATTTTAAGGTACGTCTTGCTAAGTTCCTGAGGCAGACTTCCCAACTTTTTTTTTTTTGGTGGTGCTGGGGATTGTACCCAGGGCCTTGTGCATGCGAGGCAAGAGTCTATTAACTGAGCTATGTCCCCAGCCCTAGCCTCCATCTTTTGATTCTCCTGTCTCAGCTTCTTGAACTGCTGGGATTACAGGCATGTGCCACATGCCTGTTTCCCATTTTATATTTTAGCATCACTTTGTTTACATATGCTTCAATTATCAGTTATTATTATTGTGTTATGTAGATAGTGATAGTTAATAACTATTTCTTTGTTTGCTACTCCTTTTTTTGATATTTATTTTTTAGTTGTAGTTGGACACAATACCTTTATTTCACTTATTTTTTTTTTTATGTGGTGCTGAGGATCAAACCGAGGGTCTTGCACATGTGAGGCGAGTGCTCTGCCGCTGTGCTACAACCCTAGCCCTGCTACTCCTTCTTTTAAAAACAATTCTAAAGCACTATTCCTTCTTATTTGTCTTCTTAGTTCAATCTCCTTTCTAAATGCATTCTTTTTTTTTTTTTTTTTTTTTGATACTTGGAATCAGACCCAGAGTTGCTCTACCCTGCCCCCTTTTAAAATTATATTTTATTATATTTTATCTTAAGTTAATTTTTGAGATAGGTTCTCCCTGAGTTGCCCAGGCTGGCCTTAAATTTGTGATTCTCCTGTGTATGTCGAATTGCTCAACCCTAAATGCATTTTTTAGTAAGCACATACTTTAGTGAGAATATTAGTAGTAAATTCTCTTCAATTTGTGTATATTCTTTTTTGGGGCTGGGGGGTGCATCTTTTCTTGAACAGGTATCTTTCCCAAAAAGGAATGTGTTATAGGGCTGGGTAATCTATATTATATAAATTCTGTAGGAAAAGAGGAGATTATTCCTTAGCATATTGACCCTATATATATTTATAGATTTTGAACAAAACATTTGATTCAATTTTTTTAATGGCATTGGATTGCAAATTTAAAAATTATTTTAGAGTCTGATATAAAATCAAATGAAATAAAAAGAAGATAATTTAGTTAAACAAGCCAAACTTCATTTGGCATTTAAGGATCATGCTGTCTTTGGGGATTGAATTCAAGGGCGCTTGACCACTGAGCCCTATCCCCAATCCTATTTTGTATTTTATTTAGAGACAGGGTCTCAACACTAAGCATTTTGCCTTTTCTGAGTCTGGCTTTGAACTCATTATCCTCCTGCCTCAGCCTCTTGAGCTGCTGGGATTACAGGTGTGCGCCACCACACCTGACTCCATGCTGTCTTTTAAAGAGATAAAAGTATCCCTGGGCATATGCCTGTAATCCCAGTGGCTCTAGAGGCTAAGGCAGAAGGACCACAAGTTCAAAGCCACCCTCAGCAAATTAATGAGGCTCTAAGCAACTCATCGAGATCCCGTCTCTAAATAAAATATA